CAGATGATAGTATTGTGCCTTAACAGAGGTCCAACTGTACTAAAAATTCACACCAAACTTTATGATCATCTTTTCCATTTATTTGCATCTCATTACTGTTGTCACAGGATGCTTAAGGATTGAAGACAGAAGAGCCAAGTGGAGGGCTACATCTAACAGGATTTTGTAAAGGCTGTGCAAAAAATTGGAGGCATATGGTGATACAGAAACAATTGGCTAACAACAAAGAGCTGAATCACAGTAAACTGCAATGCTACAGCTGGGATGGATGCAAAGGAATAAAAAGTTTCTGTGATGGATTCCATTATTGAATTCTATCCAGATGCAACTAGAAATCTGTTCTTTGTAGGTGTTTGTACAGAAGTTCAATTCAGCAGATTTGAATTCTCATCAAAAAGTGAGCAAAGAAGTGAGCTAGGAAAGCTTAGAAAAACTCCCGAATTTTGATAAAATACTGTAAATAATGGTTTCTTTTTTATTTTGAGACAGGTTAAAAATTGGGAACCCAAATAAGGGATATTGTTCCCTCTGTACATTACACCTGTGTACAAGAATTTGTACCGACTCAGGACCTGTCACGGCTTTTCAAAATGCCCAAAAAGGGGATTTTGTTTCATATTAGACGTTTTCTTAGAGTTAGGGATAATACTAAAACTTAATAGGAATCAAGCAATCTGATTGGCTAATTAGACAGATAAAAATTAATGGAAACTTTACAGTCTCCAGCCTATAAATTCAAATCTCCCATAGAATCATATGAGGAATTTGTACCAGGAATCAGTACTTGCTTGTTTTTTTGCTGATTCAAATTGATTGTACAGTAACGCATATGACTTCTTACTCCATAAAGTAGTAGTACGCTACATTCCTCCCTCTGTTTTGGTTTGTGTCACTACAAGCACAGTGTAGTGTAGCTTGTGAGTCCATTAAGCGTCATCAAGAGTGTTGCAACCCAGCATCATGAAATAAGATAGGCTACATTCATAAAATCTCTCTGCTTGTTGTTGCCATCCCTCAAATGGGTTATGGAGGGATGTACCTGGCAGATTAGGACGATGCCTTGGATCCAAGGAGTGCCATGTCGATGAAGTTTTGCAACCAGGCATCTGGGACCTTGCCAAGGAGCTTGCCAAGGAGCATGTAATAGTAAATATCTTTCAATTCATTGGGAATCAAATTGTTCTTTTGTGAAACAAAGTAGCCCTCTACCTCTTTGGCTTCCTTGTCAGCACCAAAAACTGTTTTCTCAACAGGCATATCCTCTAGGAGTTTGGTTCTTGTTCCAAAAGAACTGTAATGGCCTCAGGCACCTTGCTGTTGTTTACAGTCTTCCTCTTCAAAAATGCAATGGACCTTGTCAATACCTGGAATAAGACAGGATTGTTGGTGCTGCAACAGCTTTTTGCATTGAAGTTTGCCTTGTGCAATTGGTGCCATGAGCCTTTTTAATTGATTCATACTAACATGATGTTTGTTTCCAAAGCCTTCAGTGGAGCAATGTCTGCTCATTCCTGTCTTCCCGATGAAAGGAACCAAGGCACAGAGTAGCATATACATCTTCCAGTAGATTGGATTTTTTCTTCTTAGAATTCCACAGCTGTGCAAAGTTAGTGAAACTTTCTTTTAGCTTCGGGATATCCTCTATGCCCTGCTTGTCCTGACTTTTCAAAGCAGTTGAAATCTGTAAGAGAAGCCTGGCAGACACTAACCACCAATTCATAATCTCAAGCACAACAGGATCATTGCATCCTTTGATTACTATGTTATAAACTTCCTCATTATTTTCCAGTGTCTTGATTCCTCAAGCATAAGTCAACTCGTACTGGCCGTGCTTCTTATTGGAATCACCTGCAAAGGTCTTAGTAGAAATAGCTTTCATGAAAAGATACACAGTCTTTGTAAAATTCTTCTTCTTACTCCTCTCTAAATTGTGTAGCAGAGACCTCAGCTTGTCAGCTCCATTTAGTTTCCTGCAAGTTTCATTGTAACCAAGTTCTTGACCTACTTTATCTCTGTTCATTACTGTACTTGTATAAGCTTCATAACATTCATCAACTGCATCATCATCTGCTGCACAGAGATCCTTAAATGCAGACTTCACTAAATCATCTTCCTGCTTGTATCAATTCTGTGCATGCTTGAACGCAAAGGAACTTTGAGCAAGATGTCATGATCTCAATGAAAGCTTTCACTTTTGTTGTTTGGTCCTTGATAAAGTCTGGTTGAGATTCTAGTCCTGACTCTGTTGTTTTCTGCAGCTGGATTGCAGTTTCTTCTGTCAAGTGAGTTATTGTACCTTGTGACATATGCATTGGATGACCAGTGTGAAGATATAGAAAGTCATCCTCAATATGCAATAATGGCTTGCAGATGACACTGAATACCTCCTTCTTCAATCTGAGTGGTGTTGTAATCTGCTCTACAACCAATATGATAGTCTTCTAATTGAAGAAATTGTAGGTTTACACACAGCTCTCTTTTGCCATTGTCTGTCAAAAGAGTTAGTTCTTGTTGATGGAGGCGTCATCAACAATGACACATCTATGCACTTTTGATTTCTATTGGGTCATTTGTGTGTGAGGTATCGTATAGCATTGGCAGAGTGATTCCGGCCAACCCAGTCGTACATTAGCAATGCTAGATATACATACATGTATATCAATCAATATTCGTCGTACGCCGTACTCCCCCACGCCATTAGAAAACTCTTTGAATTCTCTTTTCAACCATGTGCTTATCACACTAAAGTGTCCGTTGGGGACCAAGTTATTTCTGTTCAAGTGAGTTGTACTCTACTTACTGTCCTACGTGTATTTTGTACTGTGCGTCAATCTTGGGCCATCTTTTTCTTGTGTAATGACTACTTTGACTCAACAGCACAACGGACACTTTGCACCTCAAGAGACCAACTGCTCACTAAATTTGGCCACTAATTGTGTTAACTCTTTATTCGGGCAAGTCACCCTCTTGTTACATTTGTTCTGTTTCCAGTTTATCAGAAGGAACTGTGTCGGATGCATTTCTCCTTTCATTTAACACAATGTATCAATCCCATTTCTTTCTCTTAAAAACGATTGAGAACAATACATGCTGTGACCGAGAGTACCCCTGCTAAGTATTGAGGATAGTACTGCCGAAACAAGCAAGCAACAGCATAATAAGCAAAATAAGCAACAGCAACAGCAAAACAAGCAAGATGAGCAACAAATACTAAAAACACCAGACTTCCTAGTTGAAGATCTCCTCCATAAGGATGTATATTGATACGCCAAGAGCTCTCCAGACTCAGTCCCTCCACGAGGCCCAGCAATCTTGTTTGCTGGGTGCCATCCCAAGCAAAGAGTGAAGTTAAATAGGAGAAGAGCAAGAATAAAGAAGGCAAGACACCTAGCCAGGTTGCTTGTTTACAAAAGACCCAAAGCGTGTGCTTACGAGCACTGGATGCCAAAGAGGAAGCTCACCATTGTAAAGGGCAACATGGAAAGGAAGTGGCATCCAGCCGCAAAGGCAAGGGAAGCAGCAAAGTTAATTAAGGGCATCAATCCAGGACTTGGATGGAAGATACAGATTGTAATGGATACTTCAGTTAATCCCCCTCAAGCTCCTGAGCCCCCTCCACCAGAGATAATCGACAATCCGTCCCCGAAAGTACAGTTTGTATTGAATCTAGACTGGAAGTGGGTGGCGGAATGGGAATGGGACCAAAAGCCAACGCCATACAACAAAGAGCTGAATGACACCTGTGCTGGTTGTTTAAAGAAGACCTGTCTAAAGAAGAAAGATCTGGCAAAGGCAATAGAGCTTGCTAGATTTGCAAAGCCTCTCTTGCCTCTGACAATGAATGTTGGGGATAAACATGAGTGGTTCTTTGAGATCTACAGGTCTGTTATGAAGAGGGAAAAGAATGAAACCCCCTGCATTCAGTGTGCAAAAGAATTTTGCTTTGATGAGTGGGGACATCCTATGTATGATCAAAGAAGCTTAGCCTTTGATTCAGCTGACTATGAGGAGATGAATTGTAAGGAGGATGACGACGACAAGGAGGAGGTGGATCGTGAGAACCAGCATCCAAATCAATCAACTGAGTGTACTATTCATATTTAAGGATGCAACCAAATGAGCTGCTGATTCGGAGGAAGGAACCAAAAGAGCTGCTGATACACATCTGCTAAGTCTTTAGAGTATTATACTGTTTGCATGTGTTATCTTAAGGCTACACTGCTCACTGCTCCTCTATTCTTCTTGCACACACAATTTCTTTATGTTCTTGCTTCATGAACAGCAACAAGAAGTGCTGCGGTTGCCCTATCACGGAAGGATACTAGTGTTGCTGTCTGTTGAGTCTTCTATGCTAAAGACTACAATCATTCTAGTATTGTGGATGTTCCATCAGTAACAGAGGCACTTGGTGCCATGGGCAGTGAAGCCAACAGACACAAAAAGAGGAGGATAGCTACTTTAATAAGAAGGAACTGTTGGTGGTAATTGAAACATGAGCAAATCAAGAAAAAAAACAAGCAAATACTGATTCCTAGTACAAATTCCTTGTAGGATTCTACAAGAGATTTGAATTTACGGGCTGGAGACTGTACAGTTTCCATGATTTTGATCTGTCTAATTAGCCAATCAGATTGCTTGGTTCCTATTGAATTTTAGTATTATCCCGAACTCTAAGAAAACGTCTAATATGAAACAAAATCCCCCTCCGAACAGCCGTGCTGTCTCGCCCCTTCATTCCTCGTACTCGCACCTCGTACCGTACGATTACGTACTGTATCGGAACTTTTTCCCTTGCTTCTTCAATCATGGGACTATCTACGATTACATGCGTACGAGTACCAGTACAGGTAAACGAAAACGGATCCTTCAAAATCCGAAATAATTTTTCGATCGTGGTAGAACAATTCGGATTTTTCATTTCTTATGGTACAGTAAACTTTCTGTATCTGCTCGGAACGCAGAAAGCCTCGAAATAGAAAACTAATGCTCATGTCACGGTTCATTTCTCGTTCAACCCATTTTACAATGCTATCAATGACGCAAAGAAATAAAAGTAAAGTAATGATTCAATATTTTAAGTTCCGTGCCATTCACTTTCTCTTCGCCGCTGCCTTGCCAGTGTTGGCCACAGCTGAAACCCGAGAACCCAACAACGGTATTGACAGCGTCAACATCGCTTCACCGAGAAAAGTAAAAGACAGATTTCCGGCTTTCCTCGATGTAGCTACCAATCCATGGAAAGAACCTGGAGCTGATGACCAACGATCACCCTGCTCTTTTCTGAACACTCTCGCCAACCATGGGCTCATCAATCGCAACGGAACCTTCATTGATCTTTTCGATATCGCCATGGTGATGGAAAAGGTCTTCTTCTTCTCGCCAGAATTTACGTACCAGACGAAGATTCTTCCAGCCATTGATTGTAACCAGACTTACGAGGACGAATTGGGTACTATCCGTGTGGATCTTCAAGCATTATTTGCACCAAGGTGCAAAAACTTTCGTTCCATACTTGTGCGCTCTCCAGGCAATGAGACCATGATCGATGTCATGTTACTTGATCAATTGCTGACGATCGGCAATAATGCAACGCTCGATATGATCGAACGTAGTGCTTCGGAGAATCATGAAAGTCATCTTTCCTTAGAAAGCATTGCTGCTTTTCAATACTACCGCATTTTCGACATTTTCAACGCCACCGAAGGAAATCATACTTTTGAAATACCCGAAAGCGATTTCATGGCCAATGAAATTCTCTCTCTCTATCTCGTTGGGAAGGATTGGACTTCCAGTACCCGTTCAGTGTTAGTAAACCGCCTTTTCACGTTTTTGATGTGGGAACGGATTCCAGATCCTTTCTTTCGTAGCGAGATACAACGCAACTTCATGGATGCCAATGACCCTTTGAACGATTTCTTCTTAGAACTTTCCTTTTCCCTCGAGGATGCCATAAAAGTAACATTTTCCTCCAATGAGGGCGACTTCGATTATGGTGGTTTGGGTCTAGACGAAACCATTAGTGATGATAGTTTCGATTTTGACCGTTCCGATGGAAACCACGATAATTTTCCAGAAGGATATGACTTCGGAATTTACGACGGTTTTGATGATGGTATGTTCGCACTTGATGAGTTTATTTCAGACAGTGAGGAAGTGGAGTTCTTCGATGATGAATTGTTTGATGATGAATTCTTCGATGATGGATTCTTTGACGATACGATTCCTTTTGGGGACGACGCATTTTTTTTCGATGATAAGCTCCTTGATGATGTTTTTCTTTACAGTGATGACATGAAGTATGTGGATGATGACATGAAGTATGTCGAAGATGACTTCGCGGGCCCCATCGACGATTCGCTAGATATCGATAGAGACGATCACAGCAAAAAGCCCATGCCTTCCTTATTTCCTTCGCCGGCTGCAACGGGCAATCCTACCTTTCTTATTTCCCCTGAAGCAATCTCCGTTGGTCCTTCCACTGCCTTTGTTCCAACGAAGAAGCAAACCGAAGGTTTTTCTATTCAGCCAAGCTCGGAGATTTCACCTTCCACAGTCCCACCTACGACAGCGCATTCTCAAATACTTAGCTTGTCTCCCACTATTGATACAGTGCCAACAGTACCGACTGGATCACCAACCTATATTCTGACAGAAGTGCCTACAGTATTTCTCGTCTCAACCAACATTCCTAGTTGCGTTCATTCTGGAAAGAATATGGACCAGGAAGGTACAAATGGCACAACAGAACCACAAACAATTGAACAGGAAGAAACAGGTATTCCACCAGAATCTTGGACTCCAGGACTCTCTATGCTTCCCACGGATGCTCAAACTGATATACCTAGCGCAAACGTGTATTACAGTCACACAAACATACCTACCGACAGCATTGGATGGACTCCTATAGACGCACCATCATATGCTTCATTCCTGCCAAGTATTGCTTCATCTGACTTCTTGTCAAAATCTCCTATGTTTGTCCCAACAAATGGGCCTACCACTAGGATGGATACTACTACACCAGGTGATTCTCCCAATGACTTTCAATCAAAACCTTTTGCTTCAGTGCATACAGACAAACCTACTTATCTTGATATACCTCATTCCTCAGTTTTTCCAACTGAGACTACCACCTTTGATCATACTGGTGGACCTACCACTTTGAGTACTAGTACTGCACACCAGACAGTTGTTCCTTCTACTGACTTTCTTCCATCTTATGCAACCATGTTTACACACACTGACAAACCTACCAATATGCATACTGAGACACACCATTATACAGATCTTCCAACTGAGACTAGTACATTTGTTCCTACTGAGGACAAGTCTACTAGCAAATATGATCCTACTTATTTTCCAAGTGATACTACCACCTTTGCTCCTATTGACAGACCTTCCACTATGAGTACTCCTAGCATGAAGCAGCAGACAGTTGTTCCTTCCACTGATGTTTCAACTTTCGTTACTAATATGTTTACACTTGGTGATAGACCTGCTACACTGCACACTGGAACACCTCACTCCCTTGATTTTCAAACTGAAACTACTACAAATACACTTCTGCCTACGGCTAGAACAACTGACAGATCTGACCTCACAGGATTTTCAACTGAAACTGCAGCCTTTGATGATGGGAACAAACCCACCACTGTGCATCATGAAATGCCTCATCCCACAGATTTTTCTCTTGCTGATTTTCCAACTAAGAGTACTCAATTTGGTGGGTCTGACAAATCAATCTACATATATGCTTAAGCATCTTATGCCATAGACTATCAAATTGAAACTATATTTTCCCTACTGATAAACCTACTACCACTGCAAAATTTTCATTTGATTGCCAAACAAGAATCACTCCAGGAAGAGATTCTTCCAACTGGATCTACAATCACATAATTGATCCTGTCCCTCCCAAAAAAAACTTTTTAAAATGCAAGTTCACACAAGCTTTGCGAAAAAAGGATTGACCTCAACAAAAAAGAAAATGTGTTCTATGTTTCATCATATTGACCATCTTTTTGGAAATTTGCAAAATTCAACCAATTGTTCTTGGAATCAATAACCTAAGTATTAGTTTCACCACAACTCTGGAATGACTATCAATCTTCAAACAGGACTATGATATTGAATTTTTTTAAGATAAAAATTATTAATTGTGACCATGTTTGTTGATTCACAAATAATGATGCCCTTTCAAAATAGTCCGTGAATCATGCAAGATTGAGTGAGATGCATTATTCAGAAACAATGCCCTGTGACATGCGTTTACTGGTTCACGCAGAGTCTTGTCCTGACTTGTGAAGCTTGGAAGTATCTCCCATGCTCTCTATTCCCATTTTCTCTCGGAAAGCTGTGGCAGTGATGCCTTGAACAGTGCCCTGTTCAAAAAAATTAAGTGAGGATCAAGAAAATTTGAATGGATTTATCACATCTACAAAAAATATCAAGTGACATACAATTAAACCCACCTTGTTACTAGTTGCCACCATATCTTTCCTGTTAGTTGCATGAAAAGAGACGAAGCAAGGGCAATATTATCAGGAAAGTTTCCTTACTCCAAAAAAGAACATAACGTTTTGCTTCCAATTGAAAATCAGAGGTCACGCTCACCAATGCTCTTTGTGGAAATCCCTCGTATTTTTCCCAACGAAACACACTTCCAAATTTTCGTCAGCATTTTATTTTGAAGTGAGAGCGTCAATGAGGACAGCGGTAAGTTAGAAGCCATTTATGAAAGAGACAGATTTTAAACGACATCACACTGTGTTGATTACTTACCACGATGAGTGTCCGCCCGCCGAACATCTGTCAAGGCGTCCGGTGGGTTATCGATCCATTCTTGCACGGCTGTTGTTTGATAAAGATAGGAAGGTCAGGAATGATCACAATTTCAGAAAATTTCATTGATGGGTAAATCACAAACCAGTCGTATTTCGAGAAGAGAAGATTCACCTTTTTGAACTTTCACTGGATCGATGAGCGCATCCAAAGCCTGTAGTTCGCGATTATACGAACCCCATTCGTCAAGCCTTTTTTGCTCAGATGGTTGTATATGGTAGTTAGGTTCCTCTTTCAAACGTTTGTCGATGGTCTCGCATTTCTTGACTAAACTTGCCAATTTCTTCCGATTCTTCTTCTGTTTTGACGATAGAATCCTTTGTTGGGCAAGTTTAGTGAACCAAGCTGTCCTTAAACGTTTTCTTTCCCCTTCATTCATTGCTCCAATCAATGATGGATCCATGAAAAATAGGGCTTGAGTTATGAGGGCTGTTGCAACTGAAAGATTCAATGAATCGGCATACCCTCTGAGTGGCAAATAAATGCGCTTGTCAGCTTGCTCCAACATATAAGTCGAAGCACCAACAGCTTCAGTTCCAAACACAAGAGCAATCTTCTCTGGAATTTCGTTTGAATCGGGGTTGTAAATGTCCAGTGCTTCTGCTTCTTGCGAAAGATCCTTGATTTTTCACAGTCGAACACAAGTTCATTACAATGTTTCGAAATTCAAAATTAGAAACTGAAAAAACTATTACCCCATACATTCTATTCGAAAATAATCCTTTCCGTCAACGATTCCGACTTACTGTGACCCACAATTTGTATCCTTCCTTTCGACAACAAGCTATGCAGTCTTCGGTTGAATCAAAGTCTCGAACCGTCAACCATTCAGTCTAGTTAAGAGAGGGCAACGTGAGGAACATGTCGTCGAATTAATTGTTTTAACAATCTGAGAAAATCCTCACAAAATCAACTACATACCGCATTCTGAGCAAAGATGTGATGAAGTCGACGCTGCTCAATTTCTTCCGGAGTTCTTGAGATCTCCTTTTGTGTGCCTTTTCTTCTTCCTCCATCTTCTTCCATGACGGCTGGTGGGTCAATCATGTAAACAGTCTGTATTCCGAGTGCCTCAGCAGTTCGCAATATAGCGCTATAGTTATGATCTTGAAAAAATGTTTTCAGTTGAGGTAAGCAAACGGCTATGAGATTAGTAACACCTTTTTGTCTTCTGGGAATCGTAGAGTAGCGTACATACCATTGGTGCACCGCTCGATCACTAAGATAAGGCGGCTTGTCCGCCATTGAATGACAGCTTCAGCTTTACGCAGCATTCGAAAAGATAGTTCCTCGTGATCAAGGATGTCCTGTTTCATTTCACGAGGTTTGGTTTTTTCGTCTGATCGAGAGGTTGACGACGTTGCAATCAATATTTCCAATTTTTTTGAAATCCATAATAATGATAACGATGTAGAAGCACCTAACATGAACGGGAGGATCCATGAATTGGAAGACGAGGTGAATGAACCTGCGCGATTCATTTCGTCAGTGGAGCGATGCTTGATTGCCCCGAGTTGTTTGAACAGAAGTGGTACGAGCTTCCCGGTGACTATCAACGATGAATATCACTAACTAGTTGCTCCTTTATTCTTCCCGTAATGGTGCGGTACTTGGACAACTCTAGTTGGCGCCGTGCTTGTTCTCAAACCATGGTTGATACAAAGAAAATTTGGTCCAACACGTACGGTACTATTAAGGTACAAAGGGCACGAGGTACTACGATACCAAAAATGTTTGCCATCAAAAAATACTGTAGTACGAAGTTCGAACGGTAGAAATACGAAAGACGTTCCGAATCTGTAGAAATGAACATCAGTTTACTGCTTACGGACAGACACGTTGATTTGTGTCCGCACTGGGTTTTTTGTTTTTCCAGATAACCAGTGAAATGCTGATAGGCTTGTCCTTGCTACTGTATTACAGTACCAGACAAATACACAAGGAAATATCAACTAAAAAATCAACCCCGCAGAACACAGTACATAGTAGTAGATGTAGGACTTACAAGGGAGTGCGCAGCAAGACTGGACTGGTACAGTATCGTGATGATTGATAGTAAGAACATGTACTACTACTAGTAGTAGTAGTAGTAGTACTCACCACATAATCAAATGCAAGGCAAATTCTATTAAAAAACACAAGTCGTGAGAGTAATTCTTGTTAATCACCACCACAGCACCAACAATGATACCAAAACTCTTGTCAGCTACTATGAAACTTGCTCCTGTTGTTGAGGATAGCAAGCAAAAAAAGCACTTACAATTAAAATACACAGTACTATTTTATGTTTTTTTTTTCGGATATTAGGGGGGGAGGGAAGTAATAAGGAAACTAAGACAAACAACAAAGAACAAGAAATACAATGTCAATGATGCTATGACAACTAGACTTCTGGACCTTGGAGCAAGTGGTGTCCTCCATGGGCCTCGCAAGGACCCATAGCTTTGATGATTTAAGAAGCTTGTTTCTTTCCATGCCCATCGACACCATAGACTCAACAAATCACTGTATTTGAATCAGCACCACCACAGATCAGGCGTTTGAGACCAACACCAACTTGCCATTCAATTCAAAGGACATAAAGATCATTTGGTGGACAATTTCTTTTGAAAAAGAAATCTTAATATTATATTTAATCTCATGAACTAGAAGAGGCACTATATGGCCAAAACCAGAGCCTCTCTGGACTAGGGAGAGGAATGCTCCTACTACTAGCTGCAAAGAGGGGCAGCACCTCCCTCCGAGGAGGTTTTGTGGAGGCGCAACCAGGTTCTATGCACACTGACAAGCCAAATAAGGCAGGCCGCTGGATTCAGAGGACATAAAAGGGATTGGTTCACAGTTTGGATGGGTGAGAACCATGACATTATCATTTCAAAGTGTACTGCCAAGCCAGAAGGGAAGTCTCCTTGCAGTGATCAAGGAAGTGAGTGTCAAGTACACTGCCAAACCAATGAAGGCAAGCACCCTCGCAGTGTACAAAGACACAGGTTGGAGTAGTCATAAAAAAGAGAAGCCAAAAGAAAAAGAAAAAGAAAAGGAAACTGAATTAATTTTTCAAGTAACAGTGAGGCTCAATCCCAAAAGGAGCAACTGTTTGTGGAGCATCTTTGTAAAGAAGAACCTGAGGATGGATCAATGAGATCTGGTAGATGCTGAGGGCTTGTGGATTTGGTGTTGCTACTTTCCAACATAAATGTTGGAAACAACAACAATATAGCTGAATAATACCAAAATAACACCAAAGAGCTGGTGCATTGGCATTGTAAATAGTATTCATTGTTCATGTCCCTGCTATTGACAGTGGCAATGTACCAAATTCACAACATCAGCATTCAAAGCAAGTATCAAATAGCAGGATGTAGCCAAAGGACAGTATCAAAGTTTCATTTGGTCTCCAGAAAGAGCGTTCCATCCTTGATCAAGTTAGAAATCACAGTTGAAACATGTGCAAATAACATGAATTGATGAAATCCAGCTTGGTCAAATGCTCGATTAATAGATCAAGGCATTGATTAAGCGTCCAGTTCCCCTGCAAGCTCTTGTGGTTTGAGCCATATGGATTTCTATCCGCGTATATATAGCCCTGGTTACTGGTCGTGTTTCACCATTGGTGGGCACATATGCCCTATGTTTTGCGTACGTTGGTAGCGTGTCACGCATGTTGCGCACATTGGTAGCGTGTAGCTGGTAGTGCATACCGCTCGTATATAGATGCTTTCGCTGTAAATATGATTCATGCCTTTGATCCTATATGTATTCTTATTTTGCGTTCATTGAATAGTCAGAAGCCATGATCAAAACATGTGTAAATAACATGTATTGGTGGGGTCAAGCCTAATCAGACAGACAAGCACCATTCATGAACTTCATCCAGTCTCTGGAAACAGTATTTTGTACACTGAATAAGTCCTTTTATGATTCCATCCAGTTCCCGGAAATAGTATTTCATTTGCCAAATAACAGGCTCAATCCAGTCCCTGGGAACAGTGTATAAATAACATCAGTCTCTATAACACGTATTGATGAAATTCAGCTTGATTGAAAGCAACATTACCATCCTTCATATAGTAACACCAACGTCAACGTCTCTATTGTAAATGGTCAAGTCCCCGGAAACAGTGTTTCATGCACAGAATAACACCAATCAGACTGAATAAGTCCCAGAAACAACGGTTCATTGCTGGATAAATAATATTTATCATGGTAAATCAACACTGACAGATGTATCAACAGCACCCACTGTGTCAAGGCACCAACAGTGTCCCCGTAACAGTAAACATCCTTCATACTGTTTACCAGAGACAGTAGGCAACCTCCATACGGTCCCCGGAACCAGCGTTCTGTATGCTGAATAACGCCAATTAACTTGAAGCTGAAAAATAGCTGAATAACCCCGGCAAATAACACCAAAATAGCTGAATAACACCCAACCTGTGTAAACGTGCAGCTGTATAACACTAACAATAAACCCTTGTAGTGCATTGGCATTGTAAATAGGATATATCAGTATTCTTGTCCCCACTATTGACAATGGCAATGTACCGGATCAACAACATCAATCAGTATGATACTCATTAGCCCCAAAATGTTTAATTGTTCCGTCGGTCATTGATCAAGACCATCTGTATTAGAGGCAGTATCATATTGCTCCCTGAGAGCTCTGTGTTCTTCTTTTTGCTTAGCAGAGAATGTTTTGTAGATATGGTGAGGATAATACTTATCTTCAATAGGACCCTCAAAGTGGTCTGCACTTGAGGTACTGTCATCATCATCTGTACTCTCTTTAGCAAAATCTGTCTTGTTACCACCAGTGGTGGAAGAGGTTGTAGCTGCCCAGACATCACGGCGTTTAATGTTCTGCCCACAAAGGGCTGATGTTAAATGCTCAGTGATTTTAATAAAATTATTATGGTCAGGGTGATCAATGTGCTTGATTCTATTGGCAGTCTTGATAAGCCTTGGATCTTGAATAGTAGCACAGAAATCATAACAAAATGCTTCTTCATCAATGGTACAGCCATAGTATTGAATAGTGTCCCATACCTCATACCATCTTTGATTGTGGGTGTCAAAGGTATAGATTCTGGTGTCACCGGTATAATTAGGACTGTTTTCCATAAATGTTTGCATCCGTTTGAGAGTTTGCTGCCTGTGAGTCTTCACCATGCCCATTGCACGTAGGTGCATGCAAGCACCGCAACCATCAGAGTGGGTATCCTTGTGAAACCCCTGAATTTCAGAGTCATTGCCATTGCCCTTCTTCACTTGGACCAAACTTTGGATGGTGTCATACACGGTATTGTTATCCTCCTTGAACTTGTCCCCTTTATGGGTAGTGCACGCAATAAGATATTCATTCTAGGACTCAAAAATCTTGCCAGCACCAACATCTCTGTTGATGTGTGTGTCAGGGACATTCACTTCATCCTGCAAAACATACAACAACGGTGTTCCAGAAGCACCCCTCACCGCGCCAAGGTGAGCACGCAAAGCACAATCAAACTTGGGGAAATCTTGAACTGACAAAAGTTTCACAAGAGGCGGAGGCTTAGTCTGTTGACCAGTCTTGTTGGTCTCCTTTTGGTGCCATTCCTGGATAACACAATCTAGGGTTTTGTCTAACTGGTCAGGATTCTGTAACCAATCCATACTAGCATGTGCCCTCCTGCCAACCTTTGCACAAAAGTTAACCCAATCAACAAGCAACTTGAGGTTGTTAAAACCAACTTTGGTCAAACGGTACTTCCTTGGGTCAGTCTTGTTGAAGGTTGAATAAAAACTGCATAGATCTTCAGGACTGTGGCCATGAATCATTTCCATTGACAACCAACCTTTGGGAAAGAGAACATTCACTGTCTCCCAGGATATTTCCAAGCTAAGCAAAACCAGACAGAAATTGCCTTCATTTACAGTGAGTCTTCTGCCATGCTTGTAACCTGGAATTCCTTGGAGCCTGTTCTGACTGTAATCATCTTCAGGGTCTTCACCATTAGATTCTTGAAGGGAATAGTCTGCTGGAGCATGATCACTTGGATAATACTCAGAATCTTCATCATGGTTGTTATTACTAACAGAGCCATCATCATCATCATCACCACCACCACCACCACCACCA